ACTTATAATATTTTCAGCAGCTTCTTTTTTTATTTCAATATAGAGCATAAGGATATACTACTGTCAAATATACAAAAAGCCAATGCGAATAGAAATGTGAAGAGTGCCATTACACGTGATCGTAGAAAAATATCGAATTGTTGAAGATCAGCTGTCTATTAATTAATTTATTGTTGTTGTAATTTTGCAGTCGTGAAAGTTCATCTAATTAATTGAATAACCAGTAAACTATAATTAGTAATATAAAACAAGACATTAGTAGAACAATATCACAAAAGGGCGAAAGTAATAAATCACTTGATGTGTGAGGTTGTAATGATACTTGAATTATGCAATATAAACTTCAAAATGAATAGGTACACAATGGAAAAAATACTACTTACCAAGTATGAGTATATAACTATGTAATTATATGAAACGAGCAGTGCCCGCGACTTCGTATGCGTGAAAAATTTGGTTTCTCATACAAACTTCAACCCCTTAAAAGGATAATTTCTGTACATAGGATAAAAACTATCCTTTGTCCTTTCCAGGGACTCAAACTCGTAGTACCTAGACCTCCGAAACGAAGAGACCTGCTTCCAAGCGTTATCCGAAAATGAACAGTTTAAAATTTTGGAGTGTCTCTCTAAACAAATTGTCAATAATTGCCAGCTGTCCTGGAAAAAGCCAAAAATGAGTACTTCGCAAAAAATATATAAATTTTGGGGCGAAAGCGCAAAAACGAATTAAATATAAACATGTGCGGGTTAATTTTCAACATCTTTTCGGAGGAGTGCTGGAATTTAGAAATTTGTTCAATAAAAGTAGGAATAGCATCATCAAAAATCGGGGAATCTAAGAGACGGAGTGATTTATTATCAAGAATTTTTATATAAGTAGCTAAAGCCGAAAATTTTGTGACAATATGTCGTAACTGTTCAGGTCAAAATTTTGATTCTGGAATAAATAACTCACATTTTGAAAAATTTAAGTCCAATACTTTTGAATTTTTCTATAATGACGTAAAAATATCGTCGGTATATCGAACGGTTGAAATATCGCCAGCGATAGTTCCGTCGTCAAGGTACCACACATTAAATTTGGAATAAGATGGCCCCGTAAAAGATATCAGGAATATCTTCAGGAACTTCGCCGGATAGCATCAAATTAACAGAAGAGTAATATTATGTAAAAGGACTCTGCCAGCGTCACCGACAGAGACGCAAAGAAAGTCTTTTATATGTTGTGGAGAAAGCCCATCTAGACCACTGGCAGAGCCACTTTTACAAGAGAGAATGGTACTTAATTCCATTATATGTAATTGAATTTCGGGGTAATTTGTAGGGGAGGGGGAGGGGGGGCTCCCCCCGACCCCCCCGCCATAAATGATTTTTGGCGGAAATGCAGTTTTTTTTTTTACCTAACCTAAAAATTCATAAAATCTGTTATATGTAGTGGAATTTCAGGGGGATAGGTATTAGGGAAGACCCCTCAGAGGGAAGGGTAACCCCCCCCCCCCCCTCCCGGCGTTTTTTTACAGAAATGATAATTATAAAAAATTAGAGTTTTAAAGGTAAATCTGTACTTCCAGCGCCTAGAGGTGATATTTGATTTTTCTGTAGAAAAGTCTATTAACAAATTTTTCTTTCTGGCGCTTCGCCGGCCGCTGCCGCGGCACGCTCGCTTCGCTCGCTCGGCTCGCGCGTTAAGGTCACAACACTAACCTAACCTAACCTAGTGTGAAGTATCACCTTAGATATACAGTTTTGCCGTTTAAATAAAACAAGTTTAAACACAAACACTGACTGACAGATCTCATTAATGGCGGTAAATTGTCACATTTTGACAATAGTACCAACATAATAAACTTATATTTACCATAGACAACGAGAAACATGTTATTTTTGCATAAAAAATGGCAGCACTGATCATGAAAATTGCGAAAAAAAAATGTTGTCAAAATTGACTCATAACCTACAAAAATATTAATTTTCAATAATTCTTTTCTCGAGTTCTATTCGTTTCCGCCAAAAAAGATTTCGTGTACGTGTTTTTAATAGTTAATACTTTGCGTTACAAAAATTTCAGCTTGCAACTCAATTACATATAATGGAAAGGTGAGCCGCAGGGGTAAGCCGCAGGTTCGGTGCTGGAGGTGGGTGCTTGTCTTCAAGAGCACTAAGGGTCTCCTGGCAGTTGATGGCGACAACATCGTTACTGAACAGGAGGTTGGCAGCTTCTCGGAGATCACCGTCACTATTTTTAGATTTTATTAATTTTAGGGATTTATTAGAATTTGGAGGCCGAGAGGGAGGAATAACAAGAGAATAAACAGACGGGTTTAAGCGGCAGTTCTCCTTTATTTTTTGCGTCAATGAAGTGCAAATACTGTTTTGATTAACATGTTAAATTCTATAGCTGAATGTGAGGAGTTCTGCCCAGCTCTCAGACTCTTACCACATGCTCGATGCAGTGATAAAGAAATAGCGACTGAAAGCCGTGCAGAACGTGGAATTCTTTTTATAACAGGAAGTGAACTTTTTAGAATGCCAAGAATTTGCCAAAGAGGTTGGTTGCCCGAATTTGAAGATGGAGATGGAGATACTGCTGGTACAGAGGCAGGGGATTTATGAACCCTGCCAATGTGTATATTTAAGCCTCGGTTTCCTTTAAAAGGCAAGCTTTAAAAAGAGGTTAGGAGCACTTAGGACACTGAACTAGTTGCACGTCTTCACTGCCAGGGATTGAATTTGCAGACATGTGAAAGAGATAGCGTCAAGACGAATAACACTAACCAAACAAAAAGGAATACGAAATAAACATGAACAGTTAAAAAAAATCACAACACAAATAACAAACACATTTCATAATGTCATTTTTATATTGATTCGGCACGTCGTCACCCTTGGACGTCACCAGTCACCACACGTTCGTTGCTAGGCTGCCGGAACTAACTTCGAGTATCCTATTGGCTGAGTTATGGTGGGCGCCTAGCAACAGAAGAAGCTCTATGAGGCGTCCTTGGAAATAGCCAACATCAACACACCATCAACAATGACAGAATTTTTTCAGTCTTATTTTATATTTATAAAAGCCAGACATATAACATCACATGTCTTGCTCACATGCAGGGACACGCAGAAAAGTCTGGGCTACAAATATACGGGGCACTTTTTTACAATTGCTATTGTAATCATTTTTTTTTCTTGTGCATTATTATTTAATAATCTCAACATTTTTAGACCTTTTTGAGCTTACATAGGTAGAGGCACTTCCTGTATACCTACTTATATCTAATGATTATGAAAGTACACAAAAATACCTTTCTATTTAACTACGACTGTAAAAACGTATTGCTAAATTGAAATTTAATGTATAAATCTTTGATAACGGTGTGTGATGTGTGTCAATTCTGACATGATTCTCTTAATGAACTTAAATTTGACAACAGTGGTGTCGATTCTGGCATGATTCTCTAAACTTAAAACTAAAATTTACATCAGTCTCTTCTTTTCATTCTGTATAGAGAATGACAAGGATACACTGTTGTCAAATTTAAGTTTAGATTTAGAGAATCGTGCCAGAATCGACACCAGTGTATCCTTGTTATTCTCTAAACAGAATAAAAAGTTTAAAGAATCACGCCAGAATCGACACCAATACCTGACTAGTTGATTAATTTCTTACTGAATTTAACGCAAACGCAAGTTTAATTTAATAAATATTTTGACTTTTTAAAGATAAATAAAACTTTGATAATAACGATATATTAAATTAAACCAGTAAACTATTTTATCCTGCAACAAAATATGAATAAATCTAATATTTCAGTTCAGTTCAGTCGGGGAACTTTTGACTATTTGATTTGGCGCCATTTTAATTTTTTTTTAGTTCTATTCTTCCCTGTTAGGAAAAGCAAAGGCAAAGCTATGCAGCCATCGTCTTATTTTTTTTTATTAATCTTCCTTTATTTTACATTAGAATATGGATGTGACGCATTCTAATGTTTCTTGGAGTGTTAGGCACAAAATGTATGGAGTCAGCTTTCTCGACAAGCTTCTCTGAGTAGTCAACACTACAATAAAGTTCTCACATCCACTCGCTCGTTAAAGCAAATTTTTAAAGATTCCGTTAATTCTTCAGTTGAGCAGACAATTGTAACACAAAATCACACCAATTTTATTTCACACTATCCACTATGAACAATTTTTAGAGAATAATTAAAATATGACGCCAATCGCACTCGACGAAATCCCGCCAAAAACTGCGCGCCATTTTAATCGCAGCTTATGAATATTTTTTTAAATAATTAAAGCATTAACTTTCGTAGAGCTTAAGTTTCCAGTACCGATTTATTATTGCTATTCTTAAGCTTGTCCATTTGTTCGCTCTTCGTATTATGCCGCTTATTCATTTTCCGATCAGTAAATATTATGTTATTCAGATATCGCATAGAAATTAAAGTTGTCAACTGCCTATTTACGATATTTTTTTTCATGTAGCCCAGTCTACACATATTATTGGTTAATTAGGTTTTCTTTGGGTTTTCCAATTTTATTAATATTATGGGTTGCTTTCCAATTACAGCATTATTGCGCATTATGCGACTTAATGCTTAGCGTTGAGTGTTCCAACTACAGCAACGCTTCGCACAATTGAGCACTCTCAAAAGTGATGCTTTCGTGTGATGCGTGCAATGGTACCAACTTCGAGACAGAAAATTAACAAGTGTTTTTTCTTTAAGTTGGCATTGATCGAAATGTTTTATTTATATGTTATCGTTAGTAATATTATTTAATGTTGAAAAATTATTAAAGCTTTCGTTTCATTAAATAGTTTTTTTTGTATAATCAAAGTTCATTCAAACTGTTAAAAAATAAATATAAGTATGGATGAAGGATTGACTTTTTTTTTCAACACTGAACTTAGCGCACTCTGCTGGTGCATTTGAAAACTAATTCACGTTCCAATTATGCATCAGCATAATTGGGCATTGTGCGGCACTGAGTCGCATTATGCTCTGTAATTGGAAAGCATACATGGTCAGCACCCAGCACGATAACCATATCAAATAGAAGCCGCCAATTATTTATTTAAAGCGGCAACATTTTCTACTGGTTACAGTGACATGACAGGTGTTTACGCGCCAAACAACAATGGTTGCGTGCAACGTTTAGTCCTTTATTTTTACGTGCATTTATGATAATTTTGTAGTTCTTTACAATATTTATTCGAGATCGTGTTTTATTATAAAATGTGCATTTACATTTCTAAGCCTATAAAGGACAGTAGAACAGTGAAATAGCGACGTGCTGCAATTTAATGGTGTGACTGCAAGTTTAATTTATAATTCCTAGTGATATTATAAGACTATTCATCCAAATAATGGCTGCAATAACACCACGCCGTTCCACGCGTATTCCCCACACGCATACGCCGAAAATGACGGAGAGGAAGAAAGGATTGTTTCAAGGCAACTGCGATCCGACTAGGGATTCCTTGACCAAACACAGGCATTTACCTGTAGTAAACAGTGAAAGTGATAGTGATGACTGCGATCTGGGCATCATCAGCACTCTGGACTCCAGTTCTGGTGAAGATAATGACGTGGGCACCCCCAAGAAAATCAACAGAAGCCTTTGGCGTAAGTACCGTTCCATAATCATGTAAAAATGACTGCTTTCGAGGCCAAAGACTGTTTACCGATTGTTTCTAATGCTGAGTGTTTTATGTATTTATTACACCCCATTTGACACAGGACACCATGTAAAATAAGTAAGCTATCTATGGTTTTTATGGTAGTGGTTTGATTAAAAACTGAAATAATATTTTATATTTTTATGAAGTCATTAACTTCAGAATCATAAAACCATTGTATTTCAAGCAGTATCATTATCAGGACATTGAACTTTAATTCAATCAAACAACAATCTTGCTCAGTTTGTACATCATCCAATAAAAGCTTCAATAACAAAGAAATTAGGTTACTTACCTACCAATGAATCTGAAGTCATTGTCACAGTGACAATAACACACCATCTATCTGTTGTTGTGTGTTTATCAATTTGGTATTTTCAAATTAGAGATCCTATCTATGTATCATGATTATTTTTTATTGCAGCAGAAACTAGAGGTCAGCAGAATAAGTTGCTGAAAGAGAGTCAAGATTTGAAAAATTTCATTAAATCTCCATTTACATTGAAAAAGTATCAGACAAGGTATTCCTGCCCTGATGGAAAATGTTCAGGATCTGCTTCCACACCTGTTACTCCACATTTCCACAACCACCCTGGTACACCATCATCCACACATTCATGTACAAGTGTCCACACTACATCTTCCACTTCAAGTCGTGCAAGGAAGAGCCTTGCAAGCCTCATTGCAGACACAGAGAGCTGCAGTAGCTCCTTAAAAGACCTTAACTTTGACACTGACTCTGGTGCTGATTCAAAAGAGAACACCCCTTCAAAAGGTGTTCGTAGATCTTTGAGGAAATTGAAAACCCCTCAATTTAACAGTTTTAAGGGAGTTCTTGTGGAACAACAGAAAAATATGTCCCCAATGAAGACTGCTGTAGTCTGTCTGACTAAAATGGATATGAGCACCCTCATATCTCCAACACAAATGCTCAAAACTCCCCACAACACAATTGAATCCAACCACTCGCCACCAAAACTAGGACACAATCGTCGATCTGTTGTCGAAATAGAGGAAAGTCCAGAATCTGTTTGCAACAGTGAGAAGAGTCAGAAAAGACTTCGTAATGACAGTATGACTGAAACAGGCCCACATTCAAAGTATCCAAGGTTGGACAACACAGTTCCAAAGGCTCGCATATCACTATTTAACAGTGATAGACTGAAAGAAATTCTCTCTGCCAAATCATTCTATGGAAAGAGTAACCCAGAGCTCAATACTAATATTAGTTCAAAGATATCTAAGGCTATTGAAGTCACAAACACTTATCATCGCCGTCCATTCCGCCATTCCAATTCACACAGACGTAAACGCAATATAGGTCAGATCAACATGGGTGTAAGACATAAGATTCGAAAGCCTAAGATCCATAAGGGCAATGTGATTCACATGAAAAATGGTTCCTCACATAACAATACTCTGAATTCCTCTGCACTAAACAATAGTACTATGTCCAATACTGGTGCCAATGACACAACTGTGAATAGTCAAAATTCCACACAAGAATTTGGTAAGTTTCCTTTTTTTATGATTAAATGGCAAGGAACAAGGATCTAATTTTCTAAAAAATATAGCTAAACTCAGTTCTTGATAAGATAGATACAATACATAGATACTAATCAGTATTTAAATTAGTAATCAAATAAAAGTCCTAAGCACCTTTATAACAAATAATCTTGTCTGCTTTAATATTTACAAACCAAATTATAAAATGATAGTTTTTTATGATTTATAAATAAATCAATATTTCCAACACACACCAATTAGCCTAGCCCCAAAGTATGCACTGTAAGGCTTGTGTTAAGCGATGCTAGGGTAATGGATAGAATACATATACTGTACATATATAAGTATATTTATATAGAAATATATATTAAACATCTATGACTGGAGTACAAATGCTCGTATTCATCACACAAACATCTGCCCCCACCGGGATTCGAACCCGGGACCTCTCGAGTCGGCGACATCATGAAACCTGGTGTACAAACCACTCTGCCACGGAGTTCGTCTTGAAATAGTATTGAAATAAGTACATCCATTCTTAATTACCAGTTGTATTTTATTTTTATGAGGCCATATAATTTTTGTTCCATATTTTACAGATAAGCCAGATCCATTTGACAATGAAAATCAGACAATAGCAGCACTCCTAAGTCAATGGACTGAAGAAGATATCCCTGAATCAGAACTTTCCATCAGTAAACCTAAACCTAACTTGCCTTGCTTCAACAGCACAGTTATAGAGGAGACCAATCTTATTTTCCAACCAGTGGTGGCAACACCGGTCCCCATCCAAAACATTCCACAAGACAAGGAGGCAGTTATAATAGAATTGGGATGTGGAAATAGCGCACAGATCAACGAAACTACAGTGCCTCAAGAAGTTGTGCAAGATATAGACATGACAGAGCCTGAAAGTCATAAAGAAAGCCACGGAGAAATACCGAAGAGTGGTCAGTTTTTGCCAGTGGAAGGTGGCTACATATTCGTCGGTGATAATGGAGCACCAGGTAAGAATTCCGTTAATATTGTTTACTATATTCACAGAAAAAAGATAGTACTGACAAAAGCTAAGCTCTTCCGTTATTGGCCAGATTGTACTGTTGTCTGAAACCAGAGTAATGACAACAGTACAATACAGTGCTCTCATGTGACACAGGTTTCTATCCTTGATTAGTTTTAGTGATTGTGTGACAGAGAAATCACTCCACTAACTTGTTTAGAATAACATAGAAATTAAAATTGATTGATCTAACTACACTAAACATCGAAAAATTTAAATACTTTCGTCTATAAGAAGTATTGTAGAATAAATTATGTAACTGATTTTTTGTTAAAATGTTTGTAATTTTAATGTCTGCACTTCTTTTAAACTCTTATTTAGGTTGCTGATAGAAATAAAATCAGACGAATTTGTTGGCCAATTATGACTTACCAGCATTATGTCATACAGTATTTGCTTTTAACTTAAAAAAGATTCACGAAAGGTGTGATAAGTACTTTAGTCCACTATCAATAGTAAAATTAGTTTCAGGGCAAGAAGAGTTGCCTGATTTGGATGAGATTGAACGGGAGCTGAGGATGCTGGACGAACAGATTCTCCAGATGGCTCAGTCTAATAACATTAATGCTGAAGCAGTCCTGGCTTCCACTGAGACTTTACCTGCTCCTCTTGCCACTGGTTAGTATAAAATAATTGGTAACATATCCATTAAGTTCAATTGTATTTTTAGGTGACCATTTAAATATTTCCTGTTAATAATTGGATAGCTAATAACTGGGAAGTATAAAATGTTGTTATAAGAAACCTAAGAAACATAAAGGGTGGTCAGAAAAGTGACTTCCAAAAAAATCACTTTTCTATCACGTCACTTTCCTTTATGAAAATTTTGAAACTCAGATTAGTTTAAAAATTTTCAAAAAAAAGTAGTATTTTTTTTTGCTGCTAAATCTCTATGAGCTGTGTATTTATGCATAAAATGGAAGTTACTAAAAATATTTCCTAAAGTTTAGAATTTATGTTAAGTGAGTTATAGTTTAAACTAACATAGGGGTGATCCAGATACATCTCAACACAAGGCACATAAAAAAATTTTTGGACGTCACTTTTCTGGCCACCTGTATACATTTTTTTATAAGATGGAGCTCTTTGTATATTTACAGCTTATAAGTTACTTTTTATGGATTTTACTTAATTTAATATATTTTTGTTTTTTTTTTTATAAGTCCATATCTGCTGGTTCATACTTTTTAAGTATGTTAAAATGTTTGTTATCTCGAACACAATCGTATCTGCATGATCATGATTGTTTTTGTATTGCAAACACTTAAGTGCCTACTTCTGTTTTCTGTACCCTCAGCACGAACCAATATCGAATTCGTAACGTTTGCGAGTCCGAAATGTAATAGTCAAATGTGTACTGATTTTTAGTACTTTACGTACTTTGTGGTGCTGCTGTTCAAGTTTCCATACAAAATTTGAAATTGATATTTCGCACTCGCAACCAATTCAAATTCGATAATGGTTCGTGCTAGGGGTCCTTAGGGTAACCATTACCAAAGTGCAGGATTCATTATCATCTACCAAAAAGTGCTTCTAATAAATTAATATAATTATACTTTTTCCAGATGTTCCATCAACATCTTCAGCTACGGAACAACCACAAAAATTGTTCCCAATATTCAGCAACCCCAACACTGGCAGCACAACACCTACTTCGAAAGGTAAGATAATTTTGTAAAACTATGGCAATGTTCTCTGAACCTAGAAATAAATTATGCAGCAGTGTTTCCTTATCATGCTCTATCACACTAATATTATAAAGGCGAAAGTTTAGAGTGTGTGTGTGTTTGTTAATTCTTCACGTCTAAACGGCTGGAGCGATTTTAATTAAGTTCTGTTGTAAATGGAGTTTCGCTGACACCCTGTATTAATACATAGGCTACGTTTTACTGCGGGAAAATATCTCTATTAAACTACGGGTAAGAAGAAACTCATTCAAAATTTTGTTACAAATAATCAAACATTCTATTGGGTCGCTGGTTCAGATCCGGCTCGAAGGACTAAAAAAAGCTATGTTTTTTTAGGGTTCCGTAGTTTATATGAGCAGTGGACTGTATTAGGAACTTTAACAAAAATGCGACATGAAAATCTATATCTATACTAATATTATAAAGAGGAAAGATTTGTATGTAAGTATGTTTGTAACGGATTGGCTCAAAAAGTACTGGACCGATTTTAAATAAAAATCACCATTTGAATGCTACATTATCACTGATTAATATAGGCTATAGTGTATTTTCAAAAAAGTTAGGGTTCCGTATGAAAACTTTGATAATGTAACCCAACCTGGAAAAAAATACCAAAAAATAGCCTTATATCGCGTTCGCTGCGGAAGTCATTGACAATAGAGAGCAAAGTGATATACTAAAGTTTTATAGGGGATACCAATATCTACGAAAAAGTACACGATACCATATGTCTAACTATTATAGTTTTGTCACAACTAGAAGTCCCCTGCGGTTTCACCCGCGTTCATTTGAAGAAAAAGGCTTATAGTGAGTCAAACTTAAAATATGGACATAGGCTGTCGTGACTTTCTTACAGAACTTTTCAAGGGGAAAAATTCCGTCATACATGTTTTTTGTGTAACTTTAACCGTTTACCCAGCGCACGCAACGGAATCCCACAAATGGAATGTTTTTACTCGTTTTTGCAACATTTTTCATCGATGCTCCGCTGCTACTGGTCGTAGCCTGGTAATATATAGCCTATAGCCTTCCTCAATAAAAAATGCACTGTCTAATACAAAAAGGATTTTTCAAATCGGAACAGCAGAGCAATGTTGCATTTGGTACAACGGGTCCTAAACTACGCAACGAATTTTTTGACTTGGAATGGAAGGTTTTATAATTATTATGAAGAAAGTTATTGTGTATAATACAAGCCTTTGAACAAAAACTATAGTCTACACTACAGCTCTACACCGAATCAAAGCGAGGGCGGGCCACTAGTAAACGATAAATTTAGTCGTCCAAAATTTTAAAAAACACCCCTAGCAATTATGTTCCAGTGTCGAAACCACTGCAACTTGACGCGAAGACGAAATGCTTCAGGGTTCATCCGACACCCCGTTGTTTTTATTATAACTATGTTCTTAATCTATTTTAGGAGATCCACTGTTTTGTCGAAACATATTACGAAAACGATAGAGTTTATATTTTTTTTTTTAATTTTGTGACCAGAGTGTGAAAAATAACACTTATTAAGTGTATTTATATTTTGAAGCATTTAACTGCTACACGTTTAAATCTAAGAGAAATTTTACCAGCAAAAAAAATCCCGTCCTAAAATTTTCTAGTAAAATTAATCAAGCAAAAAAATTACTATTCTGTTATCCCCTAAAATATATCAAAGTTCATTATATGCTTTTTTATAAAAGCAGTAAGTGTCTTAAGTTTCTCATACTAAGAATATTGGTTCAGGATCGTCGGATAAGGCCAAAAAACCTTTGCTAAAGAATGGAAGCGACCAATATGTCATAGATGCTGGACAGAAGAGGTTCGGAGCAACGCAATGTACCGAATGTGGAGCGATATATCAGGTAACTGTAGACTAAAACTAGAATCCAAACTAATACTATACATTTTAAAGTAGCTCTGTTTGTTTGTATGTCGTCATACCTAAACTCCTGAATCTATTAAATTTCGTATGAAGGCATATGGGGGTGCAGAGAAGAACATCATTGGGATTATGCCGGGGTAAAGAAAACAAAATACTGTTTAGTCCGCCAGTAAGATAAGCAAAAAATAATTTATAGTTATTTGTTTCTTTTGCTAATCAAAAAAAAATTACAAAGTTTAAGCGCGTCAAAGTTTGGGATCGGGGGCTTGTGACGTCACTTCTTAGTTTAAATTGTACCTAGACGTATTTTTTGATTACGTGAATGAAAAAAATAGGTGCGTGTACTTATGTAGGTTCTTCCGTGCTTCGGAAGGCAGGTTAAGCCCTTGGTCCCGGCTGCAGCTGCAGTCGTTAGCACGCGCCAATCCGCACTGGGTCCGCATGATGGCTGGGGCATAGCCCTTCCCTATTAATGGAATTGGGAGATTGGGCCGTGACCCACCAAGCTGGCCCAGTGCGGTTTGGTGGGTGCTTACGACTGCAGATGCAGACGGGACCAACGGCTTAATGTGCCTTCCGAAGTATGAAGGAACTCGAGATAATAAGTTTTTGGTCACCCATCCAATGACCGACCATTGCACCAAATGAATTATATGGCACTGTGTATGGCTATCAAAAAATAGCGAATTTATAAAAATCTCAAAATAAACCTAAATATGGTACACTACCAAGTTAGTAACATTGAAATTGTATTTTTTACTGATGAAACGAAAAGATTGGATTTAATTTAGATTTTGTATTGCAGGTGGGAGATCCGCAAGACGAACACGACCATCTTGTTCATCACAACGCCACCGATGTGCTGAAATTTAATGTAAGTTGATTTATAATGCTATGAATTCTAGATCACAACCTTGCAATTTTATCGAAATGTTTGACTACGTACGACAAAACTGTGGATACGTTGTCACCAGCAGTGTTTCCAGATCTTAGATTAAAACAAAAAGGGAAGATACGGCACTCGCGGCTCAAAAGCGTACCGCTTAAATTGTGGTGCATCAACACAATTCGCTTTAGTCACAATTTGACATCCAAACACGCTGCATATGCACTCAGAATAACAATATTGCGTATATTCTGTGTTATAAAGATAAAACAACGCCTTTGGTGCTTTAAACAGAACACAAATAGTTCAAGATCAAATAACAAATTCCACAACAACACTTTCATTTGTATCATCATCAGCCTATTAATGTACCCACTGCTGGGGCACAGGCCTTCCCTATGGATGGAATAGGGAGATTGGGCCATGACCCACCACGCGGGCCCAGTGCGGATTGGTGGGTGCTAACGACTGCAGATGCAGCCGGGACCAACGGCTTAACGTGCATTCCGAAGCGCGGAGAAGCTCGAAATAGGAATTTTTGGTCACCCATCCAATGACCGAACACTGCGAAAGTTGCTTAATTTCAACGATCGCAGCCGAACGCGCTAACCATTTACGCCATCGATATCCACGAGGTTGTCACGAATGTTATTTACTTATTCGCCATTTGTTATCAAGAAAAGGACAACAATACAGCTCAGCCGTTTGTAGAGAGAAAAAAGATAATGCAGTCGGCTACCAAGTAACGCAGACTCGCCGTTTCGCTCGCGCTGCGTTGAAGCGTACAGTACCTCTAGCACGAACCATTATCGAATTCGAATAGTTTGCGAGTGCGAAATGTCAATGTAAAATTTTGTATGGAAACTTAAACAGCAGCGGCACAAAGTACGTAACGAGAACTAAAAATCAGTACATATTTGACAATGACATTTCGGACTCGCAAACGTTACGAATTCGTATAGTTGAATTCGATCTTTTTTATATGTCAAATATGTATTGATTTTTTGGTCTCGTTACGTCCATTGTAGCGCTGCTGTTCCAGATTTCATACAAAATTTTACTGCTCGATCAATTTACAATCTTAAGACCACTAACGACTTAACGTGCCTTCCGAAGCACGGAGGAGCTCGAGATAGAAAATTTTGGGTCACCCATCCAAAGACTTAACACTGCAAAAGTTGCTCAACTACAACGATCGCAGCCAAACGTGATAACTACTTGCGCCATCGAGCTCCTCAAAAGGGTATTTGACAAGTTTTAGAAAACGATCTCACGTTATTCACTAATGTTTATAGAGTCCATAAAAAGTGGATATTCATCATTATATTGTGTATTTCGGTAAAAAACTAATTCAAAAACTCTATTTTCAAGTTGCCGCGTATCAAAAACAAAATTAATCCCTTGTTTCAGGGTTGGAAAGACGAATTCGTAGTGGAAAGATGGGGATTTGGCCGTTGTCTTCGAATACGAGGCGGAGAGAATGGCTGGAAGAAGGTGGAAAGCTTACTCTCCCGAGTAATTCACCCACACCTCGGATACGGGGAGAATCTGCCTTCTAATAACTTGCGCGCTTACACTGTAAGTATTCATACCTTAGAATGTTGCCTAAAAGAAAATAAAAAAAAAACAGAAAGAATGCTAAAATATCAACAATATGCATTAGGTCCGTCCTACTTTCACCAATAAGCCGGATAATGTATTGGAAAGAGATGGATATTGCCCTTTTCTTTCGTCGTTTCGAAAGTTGGAGAACAATGTTTGAGAGCAAAATTTTTTTTAAAAACAAAAATTGTAATAATTGGTTTAAAAGCTCACTAATTCAATGTTAAAACGCTTTTCAATGTCCAAATATAATGTTAGTTAACCAAAATACTACCACATTATAAACAACTTTGAAAGAAGCAGAATAAGGTATGGTTATAACAATACCGATCCAGACAAACAGTTTTTATTTAAGTATTCCTTCTATGTAAATTAATATTCTGTGATTCATACTATGGCTCAATTTATACCCAACCGCGGAACGGAATAGAAGCATTTTGCATTGAAATTGTGTATAGCATAATTAACTTTATTTCAATTATATAGCATAAAAACTAAATACAAGCCAAAAAAATTGATGCATCTCGAGAATTCCGTCGTATTGTATTTATTAAGAGAACAAAATTATAATAAAAATACTTATTTGTTAGTAAATTGGGCTATAAAGATAAATAATTACTATTGACATATATCCACGCTATGAGGGGCTTACTTTGGGGCTAGGCCAAGTGTTGGAAATATTTATATTTGTATATAGAAATACATAACATTATAAGATTAAAATATTTTATTCAATCTTCTAGGCTTACCTGTACATAGAGAAGAAGCAGATAATCGGTTGCCTGGTGGTGGAACCCAAAGTAAAGGCATACAAACTGATACCCGGTGACCCAGACTGCTGCAGCGTAGAAGAATACCCCGTCAAGTAAGTTTCTACACATTCTTATTGCTTAAAACACTTAGGCGATTATCACACGGCACCGCGCACCGCCGCGGAGGGCGGTGGCGGTAACGCGGATTTCGCAGCGGTGCACCGCGCGGTAAGGCGGTTTACGCGCCTGTACGCGCGGATGGATTTCACGCGGTTTTGACCAGTTTGATTGCAGACGCTGGCAAGAATGGACGCTGAAGTGGTGGCAGCAATCTGGCTTTTATGGCGCAGAAAGAAAAAAATAAGAAGATACTGGGTTCATCCATTTTTACGAAGCAGAACTCTAAATGGGTCATTCATGTTATTCTATAAAAGTTTGAGAAAATACGAAGATAAATTTTTTAATTATACGCGAATGTCCACTTCTTCATTTGATTATTTGTTAGCAAAAATAAGGAAAGCAATTTCTGGAGTAAATACAAACATGCGTCCTTGTATTTCGCCGGAAGAAAAGCTTCTTGTGACCTTGAGGTAAGTGAAGAAGAAAATACACATTTTTCCATTTTATATTTTTATTACTTTAAATAATCAGTCTGTCAATTATTCTTGTTATTAAATCTACCTCAGTCTTTTTTGAAGATTTTTTAGATTTTTGTACCTACATCTAATTATAATTAGTAATTTTAATTTCTTATTTAGTAATCAAATCACAGTTATTTTTTCTTTATCACAGGATCAACCACGTATTTATGTGTCTACCTTAAACTAATTAACATAATCACAGCTTTCTATCTTCCGCACAATGAGCATAATTTCTTATTTAGTAATCAAATTACAGTTATTTTTTCTTTATCACAGGATCAATCACGTATTTATGTATCTACCTTAAACTAATTAAAATAATCACAGCTTTCTATCTTCCGCACAATGAGCATAATTTCTTATTTAGTAATCAAATCACAGTAATTTTTTCTTTATCACAGGATCAATCACGTACATACATATTTATGTATCTACCTTAAACTAATTAACATAATCACAGCTTTCTATCTTCCGTGCAATGAGCACACTATGGTTTTAAAACAGTGATAAAATCTCCGATTCATCAGTAATGTTTGAATTAACTGTGGTGGGTGTTGCTGGTATTGCTTCTATAATATTATCTGCAATTCCGGCAGCAGAGGTCCCTTGCTCGTTTTGCTGGTGCGCATATGATGAAGTATTCGTATAATAACCCTGATTTTGATTATTAGTATAGGACATTGTAGCGTCGCCTGACTCTTTATAATTGTACATTTCATCCTGAGCTTGTGATATGTATCTAATTATATTTATTTTCACGACAGATTTTAATCGATCGGGTACTTTCTTGAAATCAGGCACCAAAGAGAGCATAAACTGTCGGTCAGGATCTTCTTCGTTTTCTTTTTTGTTTATTGAAGTTTTCAGGGTATCGATTAATCGTCATTTCTTCAGCAGGATCAGATTTCTTTCTTTTAGTACCTAAGGCTCTGTCTTCATATGGTCCTCCAACTGATTCATTACCTTCCCCGACTGATTCATCGTCTCCTGCAGACAAACTGTTCTGAGTTTTATTTTTTCCAGCGTAAGGTTTTAAAAATAACAATTGATTATAAAATCTATACTGATTATTTTTCTTAGCTCCTGCTCCGCTCTTTATATTTTTTTGTCTTCGACACTCCTTCATGAAGGCGTCTCGAAGGTTTTTCCACTTTATTTGTAGCGAGCGCCCTGTAATAAAAAAATATATTGTTTCAGATACCTGGCCACGGGGTGTTCCTTTACCGATCTGCATTACAGTTATCGACTTGGTATATCAACCATACGAAATATTGTAGAAAAAGTGTGTGATGCATTATGGGATGTAATGAAAATGGAGTGTTTTCCCGAACCTACAACTGAAATGTGGTTAAATGTAGCTGAAGGATTTAAGTCAAGAGCCAATTTTCCTCATGTTTTAGGTGCCTTAGACGGTAAACATGTGCGTGTTATCAAACCATCTCTAACTGGATCGCTGTACTACAATTATAAGCATTATTTTTCCATCTTACTGCTGGCTATTTGTGATTCTAATTACAAATTTATATACGTTGACATAGGTGCTTATGGGAAATGCAGTGATTCTACAGTTTTTCGTGATTCCATTTTTTACCAAAAACTTCAAGATGGAACTCTTAATATACCAAACTCCTCTGCAATTACTGGTATCACCAATTCCGTACTATATTTTTTTATCGGAGATGAAGCTTTCAATATCTCAAACAATGTTCTACGACCCTATGCAGGACATCACTTAAATTACACTAAAAGAGTTTTTAATTATCGCTTGAGCAGGGCACGTAGATATATTGAGTGTGCATTCGGTATTTTAACACATAAATGGCGTATATTTCAACGCCCTTTGAACGTAAACAGAATTTTATCTATAAAAATTATTAAAGCATGTTGTATACTTCATAATTTTGTTAGGGAAAGACATGGCGTTGATTTTAAGGATATTTTATATACAAACAATGAGACGGAGGGAATAGTTAATATACCGATAGACAATAATTGCAGAGGAAGCACAAGTGCTGCAGCGATCCGTAATAATTTAGCTGATTATTTTGTAAATGAGAACCCGCTACCATGGCAAAGTCAATATGCTTAAATTTAAAATAAATATTTTTTTAAAACTTACCGAGTTCTTTCTTTTCTTTGTCAGAAGTTTGTCCTGGCTCCAAATATAAGGTAACAATTTCTTCCCATTGTTTCAGTTTTAGGAGTCTATCACTATATTGTGTGCTTTTCATGTCCCAGATAGCAGAGCGACTTTGAATCTCTGAAATAAACTTTTCGACATCGAAATCCATTTTTAAATTGCGACACGTCTTGCTTCCACGATGTTCCGCGCGGTTATGCGGTGCCACGTGTGTGAGGTGCCGCCCCTCCGCGCTGCCGTCCGCGCGGAGAGGCGGTGGCGGCGAGAGCACCGCTCGACCGCGCGGTCGGGCGGTGAACATGTGTTTAGTATCAACGGATTTAGTAGAGGCTTATGCGACATGAGATCCGCTTCACCGCCTGCCGCGGCGGTGCGCGGTGCCGTGTGATAATCGCCTTAGAGGAGCCCGATGGCGCAAGTTGTTAGCCCGTTCGGCTGCGATCGTTGAAGTTAAGCAACTTTCGCAGTGGTCGGTCATTGGATGGGTGACCATAAACTTACTATCTCGAGCTCTTAATTACTTCGGAAGGCACATTATGCCGTTGGTCCCGACTGCATATACAGTCGTTAGCACCCACCAATCTGTACTGGGCCCGCGTGGTGGGTCACGGCCCAATCTCCCTATTTCGTCCATAAGGAAGGCCTGTGCCGCAGCAGTAGGGAGGTAAATAGTGTTTTGTAAATATCCAATCAGAATAATCATTTATTATTGTTTCTGTTGGTTGTTTCATCTTCCAAAAGAACATGTTATATTTTTGTATGGAGGCTGGGATATATGAAACTGCAATGAACTGAATGGAGATTTATTTCTTAAAGTACTTGGATATTAAAAAAATATACTTTTTTACTAATTTTTATTTACTTTAACCAGTTTATTACGGAAATAACAGTCATGATAATATAGAGAGAAACAGCAAAATGGACTTTTTTTTTTTAATTTATGATGATTGATGCCTTGAATTAAGTAGTTTAATATTATTTTATCTTTAAAATTTTACATAACTTTTCTTAAATTTAATGACCTTGTAAATAACTATGTACTAAAGCTAAAAGAAAAATAAAACCAAACCGTAAACCAATTTTGACCTTGTTATAAATTTCAATGTAAATAAATAAATTAAATAAAAAAAATATAACTTATATGATAATATTGTTTTATTTTTTAAGGTGAAAACTTACCAATGGGAAGTGACTTTGTTGGTTGTTTTTATGCTTTGCCTTTATAATTTCGGCAAACTTTTATCGTGTAACTCGACATATTTAAGCTATAATTTCAATACGAAACTCGGTAATTGAGGTGTGTCGCTCAACGTTGCATTGAACACTAAGTGACACGAAACTACTTAGACTGCACTGCCACGCTGTATCTAGAGAGTAAATAATCAAAGCTTTAGGTTTAGAGAATCATGCCAGAATGGACACCAATATCGCATGACGTCACGCCTTGGTACAATTTTTACTTAGAAGTGACGACGTGAAGATAAAGCGCGTCACAAATTTACAAAGATAAGCGCGTCACAGTTAAGAACTGTGACGCGCTTATCTTTGTAAATTTTTGGTTGATTGATAAAAGAGTATACAAGTGTCTTTTCTTTCTGATAAATCTAAATGACGGTCCAAATAGAATTTCGTTTCCTTTACCACGTCAGCATCCCTATTCTAGTTTAAATTTATGGTTTGTAAAGGGGGACTTTTTGTACATTATTATCTAACACTAATTAAAATTTTGTCAACAGATGCGGCATATCCCGTCTATGGGTGCACATAAACCATAGACGCAGGGGCATAGCCGGCCGTCTGTTAGATTGCGCACGAGCATCTTTTCTCTATGGAACAGCTCTAAAACTTACCGATATTGCATTCAGTGCTCCAACTTTAAACGGTAAAGCTTTCGCAGCAAAATACTGTGGCACAGAAAACTTCTACGTTTATTTAGACTGATAACTTTAAAATGATATTTTTATCGATTCAGACAGGAAAAAATAGGTACTGTATTTGGATTGAAACGAGGTATAGATTAAAACTATATTTTTAAACATGATTGTGAATTTATGAATACAGAATGATTGTTTGTTTTGAGAATTTAGTTTTATTTTTTGTATTTTGTGTAGCTTACATTGAGATGTGTAAGTTTTTTTAAATAGGAAACAATTTGAAAATGTAATAGGTACCAATATTTCTCGTAATTTTCGAGAACTTATGTTTTATTTGTCGTTTAAAAGAATATTTTGGTTTTATTCTAAACAGTAATGCATGATAAAAAGTTCATAATTATCTGTAGAGTGATTTGACTGAAAAATGTTAAAAAGATATATTGTAATTAGTTACTAAAAATTTTGGAAAATTCAATGGAATTTTTGTCATCAGTTTTATTAATGGACAGCATTCTTATTTATTACTAAACAATAAAAGCTGAAGTATTGGTACACAGAGCTGCTCTGCAGGTTAAACATAACCATAAAAAAACTCCATTCAATTGTCACCTTTAATGCTTGGGTTTAAAGTTCAAAAGCTGCTGTAGTTTAAACCTGACAAATTGTTCTTCGTACAGTATTCAGTCATGTTATTATATCTTTGATTATACACCGCGTGTATCCGAAATACCTCATGTAATTATTATTATCTTTAATTTCTTGTATGTTTGTGATTGTTGTTATGCCTATTTTTCGAGTCATTTTATAGTTAGGACATTTTAAATTAAGAATCAAGTGCCTATAGCAGTTTTGTAGATGGTTTTTATTGGAATTTGGAGCGGTATTGTCATGTAATTCTGTAAAAGTTCACTGTTAAAATTACTACCGAAGTCGTTTAGAAAAAAGCGAAAAATATTTTTCATTCAAAGTATTGTAAAACACATAATCAAGAAGTACTCTCGCATTTTGGCGTTCGTGTCTTACTGTAGTAACACAGTAAATCTTTTAGGGAGAGAAATCTCTACCGTACCTATTGCCTCACTCAAAGAACGTACAATAGAAAGACATGCATTTTTTGTGTCTGTCTGTGGCTTTCTCCGTTTCACACAGAAATTTCGCCAATGTCCCATAGTGAGACAAACACGAGAAAAAGTGCTCGGTAGAAACAGATTATGAAAGTCTATAAATAAATAACCGAAGATCTATTTATTCAGATACTTGTGTGTCACATAGTAACAGATTATATGAGGTTTTTATACTCACCGATACCTCTCCGGTTTCTGGCTTGACTTTTTGTTATCACTGATATTGTGACATTTACCTCACTGATAGGACCAATACTGGTAAAAAGTACCAACCGTACCAAGTTGTGTAAAAAGAAAATTATTTTGTAATTTTGTTAACAAGCTCATGGAACTGTATTGCCATGAAATAAATCATAAGTAAACAATTTTCTTCAATTAATTCGTCTCACTTGTCCCGACATTTTGTTCTAGTGCAAAAAAGTGCCTGTTAATTATAAGTCTAATCTTAAGCTCTAGATGTTTACATGAAACTTTTTGAAATTTTTTCAACGGTAATCGCACGGGTTTTTTTCAATAAAATAAAGCTCTCTAGTTTTTTATTTGTAATAAGTTTTGATACGCTTATTTGTTCATATTAAATACTAGTACATAAGTTATGGACAATCTTTTAGAACTATTATAGTAATATAGAACGCTGTAGTAACTACAAACTCTTTTATCTGAAAACTCAATTTCTGTTAGTAGTAATTAGATCTACTGCAAATTGTTGACATCGAATGTAAGCAATTTTTTATCAACAAAAATGTCAGCTCGCAATATAATAGACTATATAAATTTGACATTTCTCTAAGATAACATACATCCAACAATTATTGTCTTTCCTCTACCACAATTTGCTTGTTTACTTGCTCATCTCTTTAAAGCTAAAACAAAACATGCTTTTTTTAATTAAAAGTCTGTATTCTTTACTTTAAGCATAGTTTTCAAGTTTAACAACTATTCACAGATAAACATGCAAATATTTACGTTTTTAAATTACTTTAAAGCTTAGATTTAATGATTTCATCATTCCCATGATTTAAATTATTCTATTGAATATGTATTTGTGAGCTTAGTAGTCGATAACTCGTTTTGTATAGGAACTCATTTGACAGTACTTATGTAAACTGGAAATACATATGATATTTACGGTTAAACACAATACCCTCTCTGCGCGTCGCGCTGCTTGCGTGCGCAGTCGGATAAAAAGGCATCAATACATGAAAACAATTTATAATAATATATTGTGTTAACCTGTTAATTAAGTAACAAGAAAATTGCTCAAGAATGGCGATTCTAGGTTGCATTATTATTACGTCATGATTTAAAAATCTAAGTAATTATTTATTATTTAAAAAAATGTTTTTTTTTAATAATGGTCACTATATTCTCTGAGTTTTTAACATTTTGACTAATTACAAGCTTATTAAGTTTCGGACAAACGGTTGCATACACAGCTGCTTTTTTTTCTCGTGAATACTAGTAAGGACTTTTTTTTATTTAGCATTACTTTTTAATAAAAACATTAGTTATTAATTACATAACTATGTCTTCATTTAACAACTATGCAAATCTTTAGAATGTTAGCTTTCCTGTTTAGTAAACTGTATCGATTTGTAATTTTTGAAAATACATAGACAAGTTCCCATGGGTTAAATGCGTCAGAATTATGACGACGCAGCCTGAGAAGGATGCGAAACGTCAGGAATCGTTGGAACCATAGAGTTATAAGAATAGAGTGGGGAAGGAGGCTCTAAAAGTGTCCGTCTAGTAGAAAGAGAAAGATGAGAGACCGCTAGCTATCTCTCTCTCTTGTGACGCATGGCATCCAATGGCATCACATCAAAATAGTAAGATGCTTACGGTTGCCAATGCGCATGCGCGATTAGAGAGAAAAAGCTAGCGGTCTCTCATCTTCTTGCTCTTTCTATTAAAGGGTAGAGTCTATATCTCCCCTACTCTATTCTTATACCTCTATGGTTGGAAGTTGTTTTATTTAATGAGTGGTGTACGTGAAAACCTAAGAAACATACATAGACACCCAGTAAAATAATAAAACAAGCACAGGACAGGAATTATAACATGTTTGGGAGATTACCATTAGCCCACTGTACGTATTGCATACCTAAGTGTACTTACGAGGTAAATTAGATGTTAAGTCGCCCGGCATTGTTTGTGTATGGTGTAGTGGCAACCCCAAAGATATTTCGTACCTTTATATTGCCATAGTCCTGTAAATATAATTTATTTTTATTATGTTGTTTGAGGTTTTAAATCCCAATTTAGTCGTTTACTTGTACGGAATTTCTAAGGTTTTTAGAAAATTTTTAGATTAAATTTGTATGCATTTTCTGAGATACACAAGTGGTGGGTGCCAGTGTAGTCTTAATAAAAAAAAAATTAAAATACATTTAGCGTCTTATTTCTCTTCTCAACCGTATAAAAGGGTCCGTCAAATGAAATAGCACAATTTTAAAACAACATTTATTTTTACATACATTAAGTCGGATTCAAATTGCCTGAAACATACTGATTTTTGTACACATCAGTTAGGTATAGATTATTATTAATTTCATGGACAGTAAATTATACATTTTCCTTTGCACAAATCTGTGGAGACAAAAATTATAAGCGTTCGTTACTTCATAACCACCTCGCAGTACGCACTACTATACACATAATTATTAAAAAATTCATATTTTTTTATTCTTTAGGAATTTCATTAATTAGTTATATATTTTAAAATTAAATTTGTTAAAAATATAGATTTTCAGTTATATATTTAAACGTAGGTATTAAGAGTAAATACACCGTGACATTATTCGCAGTCTGTCGGCAGAAAGGGTACCATTGGTAGTGCTTCTTCGATTTATCAATTCTAAACAAAGTGTGTTTTGAGCTAATCTAGAAAATATATATCTATTAAAGAAATCTACCGAAAAATTGAGAGAAAAATATGTATTTTTTTGTGCCACAATGTAAATTAAACTATGAGCACTAGTTTTAAATGCCATCACTTTAATATCTACATCGAGACAGATCTAAAAGGTATGCGGACAGCGCGACTCCCTAAGGTAAAATATTACCAAAAAATATTTGCAGGCCACGTCTGCACTTTGTCGAACGAAAGGGAAACCATCCTCACATACGTGTTGTGCGCAAGTACATTCACTTACCTAATATGAAGATAATATTAAAACGAGGAATTGTTCAATACTATTTGGTTATTGGCAACGGACGTTACATTACCTACTAAGTCGAGGATCTGTTCGCAAAACAAATTACCTTTCTTTTATTTTTATACCTAATCGAATTCCTGCGCGCCATGTTAACATGTCGTCACACGAGTGATTCGCTCCCGAACGAGTCCAGAGAAATATCTAAAGACCTTTATACGGTCCGTTTACTTGACATCGACACTGGCAGTATTTTATCTAAATATCGAAAAACATAGAAAGTATGCTATTAATCTACTTTATACATATCATATGAATCACTTGTTATTGCGTTCTCTTAAATTGTACGAGGAAGGGGGTCGGATGTGCGAGTTCATCGTACAAAGCTTTAAAAAATCGTAAACCTTTGAAGAGTGATCTATTCACAAATCGGAATGACGTCTAACTACATATCAATTTCTTCAAGTTTTGATTGTACTGCTGATATTGGAATTTCTTTGAAGTATCGAGCTATCTTCATCCCTAGAAAGAGACAAGCGCTCGTTTCTCCACTTTCATAGGTATTTGGTATGAGATTCGCGCGAGCAACGGCATACGGCTCAGAAATCAATATTAAATTAGTTTAATTCTTACAATTAGTTCTACGGCAGAGACAGATCTCACTCATTAGCACGATATGCATTGTTTTAGCGATATTTTCCGATACACCTTTTTTGATAAAGATTGTTTCTTGAAACTTGAAAGCTTTATAAAAACCCGTTGGCGCACTAACAAGCGAGATCCGACCCCAACTCAAAATCTGAGCAGTTACACTAGATTGCGTTGAACGAAAGGCATCAATACTAGTATGTACTCCGCTAGTAGATAATGGTGAAGGTTAAAAACAATGTTATTAGGTGCGGTTATTATAATACATTCGTTAGAAATTAGTGATAATTTTACCCATTCACAAAGAACTCATACAAAACTAAGCTGAAACTTTGTGAAGCTACTTAAGGCGATACAAGTCGTGTATAGTTTTTTTTATGAAAAATAGTATTAAATGTTAATGTTCTACAGATAATTTGTGTGCCTTTGAATTTATTGTTGGTGAGCACGCTTATATCGTCAAGAAAAACAGGTGGAAACTATTTAAAACACAATTTATGTTGACAATATCATTTACCAATCCATTTATACATTCTTGTTACCACCTTAACTAACTCTCACCATTGTTCTAAGGCTCTTAGCTTCAAAGTCGTACACTATGCGTCACTTTCTAAGACAGTATGTTCCTTAAGATTGACCGGCAAATTTTTGAACTACCCACAACTTTGCCACAATGTTGCCAGTAAACTGGTGTGATTTTTAGCTCAAGAGATGATATTGTTCATATTAACGTAATTCAACTTGGAATGTGACTATAATAGCATGATTCTAATATGGAGTCATTCAAAAACTAACGGCCATATCAAAATTATTTGCATCCGACTGAAAAGTAGTACTGCAGGGAGAAAAGAAACCGTCACAACTTTTAGCAGTCTACAATTATTATTATTATATATATATATATATACTTTTTTGTTACTTTTGCATTCCATATCAATTGCAATACACTAGAACTTACTTAAAATAGCTACCAAATAGTTTTACTTTTTAAGTTACATATACAATAAGTTTAAGATGCCATGTAACCTTTACACAATGATTGCTATAATGGGCTGACAGGTGATGTTGAGAGGTCGCCATGATATTGCACTAAATGTCAAACAATCCGGCCCGTTAGTGTTACCATGAAAATAGTGACAATAATTGCCAACTAAAAAATCCACCTATGTACACGTCTAAAATATTATAATAAAAGCTTATTTATCAATATATATTTTATTACATTCAAATCACAAATGAATCAAATAGATTATTGCCTTGTAAGCATGCATTATATATCTATGTGTATTTTGTGCGAAAAATCTGATCTTATTATTATGAAGGTGGTACTGATGCAAAAACTTGAATAAGGCGACCTCCAAACAGCAATATGTATGAATAACCATACCTCTATTAAAAATGTATGTTCGTTCTTTGCCTACTTACATTCAAAATGATACTTAACTAACAGAAAAAAAAAGAAAAATACATTTTCAATAGTTATATTTCAAAAAATAACGATAGGTGTTAAGATTAGAAAGCAAAAAAATAGCGATTTGTTATATTACAAGATAGGAAGGAATTCTCAGTTTTTCTCAGTGTTATCCTAAACACGATATATATATTCTTCACTATGGTAACATTAGGTTATGGTGTTTCCGCTGGCAACACTTCATTATGGCACATTACATAAAACCCAGCATAAAACATTCTTATATTAAGGACCATTATGGATAAAGCTAAAAAATTAATAACAATTCATAGATTTTTCTGGAAGAAAAAAATACTATTTAGATTTATATAATTTTCTATGTATAATAATAATTCTATGATGAACAGATGCCTTTGATAGTGATATTTTTTTTAATACAAATATATGTTTACATTAATACACACCTGTCCAATGTATAAAGAAATTTCACTGTAAATAGAAAAATCAGATTCATTTTTTAAACTAATAAAAGGGAAATATATTTTTTTATTTATTTTTTCATAATAATTACGAATACACTAGTAGCGTAAGGGTAAGTACATAACCAATTTTATAAATAATTATATTATTATTTCCATTAAGAATTACGTTAATGTGTCTCTGTTAGTAACACTTTGTACTTAGGGGCTATAACTTGTGTCCAACTTAAAAACGAAAAAAAAAAGAAAAATTAACAACTATTATACGCAATTATATATTTGAAACATTCAAATCAAAATACTGCTTAGCGATATTCGTCTCGCCGTATCAGATACGGCCTGTTAACATCCTGACTCTTTGGACCTTATATTTATACTAAAAGCTCTTGTATATTATATTATATATAAAAAATATTTAAATAACCTAAGTTAAATCTAATACGCAAAGCTCTCGCCTTTTGCAATATTTTAGATTTTAGTCAACAAAAATCGTGCTAAGAATTATTCAATAGCTGCTAGAAGTCAATGTGTAAAACAAAATTATACATAAAATTATAACATTCAATGGAAGACATAAAATTCATAACACTAAAATTAACTTAAAACGAAACATTAAAGTGACAAGATTGCATTCATCCAAAAATTGTATAAGAAAACAAAAGTATATAAATGATACATGGTGTGATATATATTATGAACATAAAAAAATACTCATAAATACAAACGAGCGTTAGTCTCTATTTCGATCATAAATTGACGTTCACAAAAGCTATACAAATGTAGAACCCGCGACATCAAACGCTGACATTAATTTACTTGCGTTAAATAAGTTAACAAAAATAAAATTTGGTCTAATTTGAGCATAAAGTGCGAGCGTCGTGTGTTGTCATAACAAAAATCTACATTGGAAGGTTAGCTCAAGTGATCATTGTAACGAGGATACAAGGTATGAATGGCCTTGGTCTACAGTTGTTTTGCCATCCGATGATCCTTAATATAAACAATGGCATCGTGACAAGTTTTGTTTTCAATGCTAAAACTGTGTAGTAGTAAGAAGCTGTGTATATCGTTATCAAGATTTAAAGAAAAAATAAATATTACATCTGAGATAAGAAATTATTATTACCGAAGTCGCGGTGAAACTCAAGACCACCTTTGTGCAATCAGTCGATAGTAAGGGACGAGCAATTTTAAAGGTTATTCCTATGGCCAAATTCGTCATTAGATTAGCATCCATTGAAAGGAAAAGCTGCAATATTTCAGATATTTCGTTCAAACTTTAAGGCTTTGGGCCTCCTACCCCCTCAAAGCTATTCACAAGGCTTCGCTTCCTAGTGAAGATTAACCCACCGAGTTTCGTTCGCAACAAGAAATTGCAAACTGGCAGTCGTTAAACATTCAACCACAAACCATAGTCAACCATAAACAAATTTAATTTTCTTTGCTAAGTCTCGACCAGTAAGAGCCATTATACGCACATTTACATTAACGCTTTACATTTAATTAAAGACGCGACGCGTACTTTTCGTTTCAATAAACAACTAACCGACTCGCGTTTGCACTAACCGATACATGTCAAACGCACCGTCACAACCTATCGATACAATTCGATATCGACAACCGCAATAACGGCACATCACTATGGAATGAGTTGTATTCGAAATGACGCAATCGTGTTTTCCTTTATCCTTCACAATTTAACCTAGCACCTGTATAAATAATTCCTTTGGCTATAAATATAAATAGGGACTTTAAATTAATAATAATAATAATATTTAAAAAAAAACAAAAATCAATAACAAGTTCTAATAAAGGCACCAATTTTTTTAATAATAACAGACACGGAGCAATGCTTATTGGCCGCCAAATAACTTATTAGTGAGGTAATTTTTTTAGACGAGTGGTTGCCAGTATCGGTAAAGGCGAACGTTCGGAAACACCATTAGAACGATGCAAGATCAGTTGAAAGGTGCCGTTTGGATTTATACGGGAATAGTTCAAAAAAAGTTGTCGAGGACACAACTTTATGATAAACGAAAAGGTATATTTGTGCTACAATAAAACTGCGTTAAAGAATAAATTAGGTATAGAATTTTACAACGAACTTTCCCGTTTCTAGATACAATCTGCACATTTCCACTAATGATAGAATCACAGCGACGGCGATGCCTCACAATTGAGGGTGACTATGTACTGATTAAAGGGGTGAAAAAGTCTAACACCAATGTTTATTTTTCGTTGATATTTTCAAACAAATTCATGGAACACGTAAGAGATAGCAGTAAAATTATAACGAAGAGTTATCATTTCCTTCAGAGTCCATAGAGGCGAAAATTGCTTACGCTATCTCTCATTCTTTTATACAGTTTCCTCCCATTATCACGAATAAACACAAGCTATAATCAAACTTAAAGTGTTTAGTTGGAGGCAACGGTAGAACACCGTTTGAGTTATCCGCTCAGAAGTTACACACACACTCAATATCACTCTTACAGAATAACAACTTCTATAACCTATAATAAATTACTTTCCGCGACTCGCAACTAACTTCCGAGTTTACTCAAATGGCAAGTTTTCAAATAAAGGGATATCGTCAGGATCATGGATATTTATAGAAATTAGTTAGGAATTATTTAATGAATAGGAAAGAAATTGGAAAGAGCATAAAAAAAATTACAATACAAGTATAAATTTATACTTTGCAATGTCACTTTCCTATTGATTGTCATATAAGTAGAGAACGTAAAGTAAATGCCACATTCATGAATACAAGCTGACGTTTTTATTGCTTGGAAATAGGAGCTATATTCGGACAAATGAGTCTATCCTTTTTGTAAGTTTGTGAGCGAATACTTTACTTCTTTGGATCTGCATTTATGATGTAGTTTCGACATGGAATTACTGGCACAGTTAAAACACAAAAGTAGTGAAAAGTAGAAAATAGCTTCAACCTAATCTTGATAATGGGAGGAAATCACAAAAATCTGTCGAGATTTAGCGCAAACGATTACAGTTCTAAAGGTTTTTTGACGTAACAGTAATTTCTATCGTGGGTAATTCAATTGCAATTAGTGAACATGAAAATGAAAAACTAATCGTCTGAAAGTCAAAACATTATTGAACCTAAACACTTTAAGAATAAGGTAGAATTTGGTTAACAAAAACAATGAAATCCATGAACGTACGTAAACAGTAAAAATTAACATTGTAGCGTATTTACAAAATGAAATAGGAACAAACATTGATATTAGACGTCCGTACCCGTTTGTTAAGAGATTGCGTACGACACGCGACATGTTGTTGCATGTCGCGTGCAATGACATGTCACGACATGTAGACGACATGTACTTGTTCGCTGCGGGTGTTGATGTGCCGAGTTTGTTGTACGCCGGTGATTCGACGTTAGTTGCTTTGCGCTCCTCTTGACTTATATCTGCAATAAAGAATAAATATTGATGAAAAGAAGTTTCTTTTTAAATTAATAGATTGAAGGAAAAAATCCATGCGGACCAGGCTGCAGACGGGACTCTAACCCGCACCCTTCGCTATCCAGGCGAATGCACTGTCCATTATGCTGCCGCAGCCCTGATATCCGGGTCGAATTTTAACTATCTTTAATACTTGTAAAGGTATTCATTTGACGTTGTGAGTTACCAACAATGTTAGGAGATAGCGCTGCCTTGCAATCTAAGAAAGGCTAGAGAAAATTCGACACGGCCATCAGGGCCACAGTAGCATAATGGTCAGTGCATTCACCCGGATAGCGAAAGGGCGCGGGTACGATCTACGTCTTGTCTGCTGCCTGATCTGCGTGGATTTTTGTCTAGTAAAATTTTCTTTTGATTTAAAAATGTAGCAGTTAAATACATAAAAAATAAAATAGATTTTAGTTACACATTTACCAGAAAAATACAATCAATGTAGGCACCTCTGAAAAATTTTATGAAAATTTTTCAGAGCTGCCAAATTTCGTAAGAACTATGAGTGACTGAGTGAATGATGAGTGCGTGAGTGAGTGGGTAAACGATGTGTGAGGGAATGAACGACGAGTGTGTGAGTGAACGATGAGCGAGTGAGTGAATAAACGATGTGCGAGTGAGTAAATGGTATATGTCTCACCGCGTTAGAGCAGCTCGTACTGGCGCAGGTGCATGCGCTGAATGATGTCGCGGCAGTCGTTGAACACGCGCTTTATGTTCTCGGTGTCGACGGCGCACGTGAAGTGCGGGTAGCAGTAGTGTTTGCCGTCACCACTCGCCGTGCTTATACGCTGCGAAAAAACACATACTTTTGTTGAATACATTGAAGAAAAAACATGATAATTTATCGAAATATATTGGTGGTTTTAATATATTAAAATTCGCATCCTGAGATCAAAGCAAAAATTTTTGACAACATTGTAACGTATCGAACCTTCAAAGTTTCTATGAAAACTAAGCAGCGCCCTTGTCGGATGTAGGAACAAATAGTTTGTTTTCCATTCCGTTTTCCATATAAAATTTGACGATGTCGATACGTTACGCAGCTGTCAAAAATTACAATACAAAACACCACCCGATGCTTGAATACATTTTGGCGATATGGAGAAGTTTCACTAAATGAGTTGACGCCATTTTAAAGAGTTTAGTTCCATAAAGTAATGCCGGCTGTAGTTCGGTGACGTCTGGTATACTGACTACAATAACCCTTAGTATGAACCAATATCAAATTCGAATAATTACTTTAATTCGATCTCGATACGCATCAAATGTCAATAAGTTTTATATGGAAGATTTTTAATTCTCGTTAAAAAATCGCGTCCGTTGTGACGCTTTTCAAATTTCAATACAAAACTTCTTGACATTTGACGCGTATCGAGATCGAATTCGATATTGGTTCGTGCCAAGTGAACTGTTCATTGCGCAATCGTAAATACAATCCGGCTCGAAGGCCCATTATAGAACGCGTCCCATAGTGCGAGAATTTCGCGGAAAATCGGTTAACAGTCGGATTTACTTCAAATTTGGACCGAATATTATTAAGAAGTCGGGTCAACATATGGGCTAAATATTATATTGTTTTTAACTTTCATGGTCACTAACATTATAGTACTATAAGTTATTTACGGGATTGTTACCATGTACCTTGTTTTTAGCGAGTTTCCGATATTTCGGCACTGTTGCAAGAGCCATGATCACGGAGTAACTGAAGTAATTGCGGGTACGCTGTTATTGGCAGACATATCGGTCTACCCTCCGACGAAGTCTTTTATTGCGTTCGATACCCGTACCATTGTTCACATTCTCACTATTCACTCGAAACTGTTCTCGACACACAACACTTACAGTATCGGATCGCGACACGACACTTTTTTGATTATTTCCGGTTTTACACATACGAACCACAGGATTCCAGACACTCGACAATTTAAACCCGTCCTCACGATTGAAATTTTTATGTTTTGTTATTTCAATCGCTTCCCTGACCAATCTTGGTATGTAGTGGCGTTCTGTCGAGATAATCTGTGGGTTATGAAACTCAATCCAGTGGTTAGGACCAGAATCAATCAAATGTTCCGCGATGGCTGATTTCTGCGTATCGTTGTTCTTGATTGCTTTTATGTGTTCCCTCATTCGGCATGATACTGTTCGCTTTGTTTGGCCAATGTACGAACTGTCACAGCTGCAATCGATCTTATAGACACCAGGTTTCTCCAAGGAGAAGTTGTCTTTAGGATACCGTAGGTATTGTGAAACCTTTAGCACAGGAGTGAAGACAGTGTTTAGTGAGTACTTATTCAGTATGTTTGAGATCTTGTCAGTCACTCCTTTGACGTATGGCAAATAAATAGGTTGTCTGTCTACTCTGTGTCTCTGGTGTCTTAGTTTGTGTCTAGATGGAAAATATCCCTGGTATCCATTACTCTGTAAGACTCGTCGTACATGCTCCAACTCTTCTTGAAGATGTTCCTCATCACACAGGTCATATGCACGGTTCGTCAGTGAAGTCACTACAGAGTTAAGATGTTTAGGGTGGTGATGCGAGGAGGTGTTGAGATAGCGGTCAGTGTGTGTTGATTTGCGGTAAATGCAATGACCAAGCGAACCGTCATTCCTCACCCGAATCTTCACATCCAGAAAGGCCAGACTTCTGTCTTCTTCCATCTCATAGGTAAAGTTGATTTTAGAATGGATACCATTTAAATTTGCCAAGTGAGACTCGACATCATGTTTGTTACCTCTTAATATACAGAATACGTCATCGAAATATCGGAAACTCGCTAAAAACAAGGTACATGGTAACAATCCCGTAAATAACTTATATTAATATAGGGCTAAATATTATCACGCTATCACCAACGGGGAACGAGCAGTGAACTTTTTTTTGTAACTGAATCCACGCGTACAAAGTCGCGGGCGGCCGCTAGTGGTGTATATAAAGTGATCCACTTACGAGCAACTCGTCCCGTATGAAATTCTTACTTGGCGCGTACCCCTTTGAATGGTCTCTGGCGTCTGGTAGCGTACTACCAATGTGATGTGAAACGCGTGTGATGTGATTATGATATCAATCCAGTGTTTTTCCGTGAACGCAACATTTTTCATTGTCCTATTGGTCGTAGCGGGATGTTATATGGCCTATAGTCATCCTCGATAAATGGACTATCTAACACAGAAAGATTTTTCGATTTCTAAGCAGTAGTTCCCGAGAAATCCTAAGATTAGCGCGTTCAAACCAACTCTTCAGCCAGTACAGTTTTTTTTATGTTTAATAGGCAAGGCGTTTGACCAAAATCTCGCCTGATGGAAAGCGATGATGAGGCCTAGGATGGTACACGCCTACTTAGAAGATGCCTGTTCACTCTGGCCTTGAAGATGACCAGATTATATTGGTCCGGGAAAACAGATCTCGGTAAGGAGTTCCACTCCCTAGCCGTTCGCATAATGAAAGCGGAAGAAAATCGCTTCGTGCGAATGGGAAGAACTTGGACAACATAAGGGGGGATCAAATTGTGTAGTACCTCCGCACACTCTCCGAAATGTAACCGATAAAACACCGAGAGGCAACCTGCACGTCTTCGGTGGTTAAGGCTCTGGAGATTAGCCTCAACGAGAGCGTCATTGCCTATGAGTCTCTTCGCACGGTGTTCCACCGAGTCCAGTGCATCCAGATGATACCGAGCAGATCTCGATAAAGGTTAAGGTGCTGCTCAGATGTAAAATATCGCCTGACCTTAGAAAGTATTCCAAGTTTTTTGGCAGCAGTTTTAGCAATGGACTCGATGTTATAATTATATTGAACTGCATTGAATGCACAAAATTGCTGTAGAAGCTTTGTTGAAAATAAATCACACGAACACGGCGAAAGTTTGTGAGTGTGTATGTTTGTTACTTCTTCATGTCTAAGCGACTGGAGCGATTTTAATAAAATTTGGTATGGAGTTAGCCGACACCCTGGATTAGCACAAAGGCTACGTTTTACTGCGGGAAAATATCCCTAATAAACCGCGGGTAACACCGGGGCACAGCTAGTAAGTAAATAGATTGCTCTTTCACTCACGAGGAACTCGTCCCGTATAAAGTACTTGCCGCGGGCTGACACCCTGGATTAGCACAAAGGCTACGTTTTACTGCGGGAAAATATCCCTACTAAACAGCGGGTAACACCGGGGCACAGCTAGTAAGTAGATTGCTCTTTCACTCACGAGGAACTCGTCCCGTATAAAGTACTTGCCGAGGGCTGATACCCTGGATTAGCACAAAGGCTACGTTTTACTGCGGGAAAATATCCCTACTAAACAGCGGGTAACACCGGGGCACAGCTAGTAAGTAGATTGCTCTTTCACTCACGAGGAACTCGTCCCGTATAAAGTACTTGCCGAGGGCTGACACCCTGGATTAGCACAAAGGCTACGTTTTACTGCGGGAAAATATCCCTACTAAACAGCGGGTAACACCGGGGCACAGCTAGTAAGTAGATTGCTCTTTCACTCACGAGGAACTCGTCCCGTATAAAGTACTTGCCGAGGGCTGATACCCTGGATTAGCACAAAGGCTACGTTTTACTGCGGGAAAATATCCCTACTAAACAGCGGGTAACACCGGGGCACAGCTAGTAAGTAGATTGCTCTTTCACTCACGAGGAACTCGTCCCGTATAAAGTACTTGCCGAGGGCTGATACCCTGGATTAGCACAAAGGCTACGTTTTACTGCGGGAAAATATCCCTACTAAACAGCGGGTAACACCGGGGCACAGCTAGTAAGTAGATTGCTCTTTCACTCACGAGGAACTCGTCCCGTATAAAGTACTTGCCGAGGGCTGATACCCTGGATTAGCACAAAGGCTACGTTTTACTGCGGGAAAATATCCCTACTAAACAGCGGGTAACACCGGGGCACAGCTAGTAAGTAGATTGCTCTTTCACTCACGAGGAACTCGTCCCGTATAAAGTACTTGCCGCGGGCTGACACCCTGGATTAGCACAAAGGCTACGTTTTACTGCGGGAAAATATCCCTACTAAACCGCGGGTAACACCGCGGGGTGTGCCCCGCAGTAGTGCAGCTAGTAAGTAAATAAATTGTTAATTCACTCACGAGGAACTCGTCCCGTATAAAGTACTTGGCGCGGGCCACGTCCGGATGGTCTCTGTTGTCTGGCAGCGCGTCTGGCGGCGTCTGGTAGCGCGCGAACTCGGCGAAGTATTCCTCTAGACGGGACTTCCCCGCTAGAACCTTCTCTGCTAGCAGATCCTGCTTGTTCAGGAACAGGATCACGGATATCGTGCGCAGCCATCTGCCGGGAGGATAATATATTTGTTTCTAAGGTTTTCACGCACATCACTCATTAAATAAAACAATTTTTACGGCTTAGATGCACTGAATTTATTTATCTGACATTTCGCAGCCTTTGCTGGACTGTGTCTTCAGAAATAGTGTTTTTTTTTTATTTACTTGGTCGAGCTACCTTCGAAAGACTTTTATTGAGCGTTCGGATATTTCATTGGAAGATTTTTAAAACTTTATTGTCTATGCTTGAATTATTAGCTAATTTAATTATATTATAAATTACTTTATTGTAATAATAATGTTATTAAAAATGTATAAGGATAATAATGTTAAATAAGTTTTGAATAACTCACAACAAAAGGGTATTTGATGCTATATAATAAGCCTAGTCTTCCTCAATAAGTGGACTTAAAACACAGAAACAATTTTTAAATTCAAACCAGAAACATGGTATTTGACAAGATTTAGAAAACAATCTCACCTTATTAACTTGTGTTTAAACAGTGCGTAAAAAATGGTTACAAATCATACTGTTGCGTATTTCAGTTATTCAATTTTCAACTTGCCGCGAAAACATCAGCGGGAATGGTATGTGACGTTACACGACTGTCATTCGGGCGGCCTTGATGGCCGTGTCGAATTTTCTCCAGTACTTCTTAGGCTGCAAGGCAGCGCCATCCCTTCGCATTCTACTGACCTGTTGTTCCATATGCTCTTGAAGAGGTCCAGCGACTCCCTGAGGCGGTTCTGTGTGGGATCCTCCCGCAGCACCATATTGTATGAGGAGCAAGCGGTCACGAATATGATCGCTGTGACGTCATTGAAGCACTGGATCCATTTGCGTCGCTCGTCGCGTTGGCCGCCCACGTCAAACATGCTGTAAGAAAGGAATGAATGAATGTATTCTTTATTGTACTGAGACAATTTAGTCAGAAATACAAAAAACACAGAAATGTTTCAACGAAGAGCGGCCTTTTTGCTAAGGTAGCAATCTCTAGCAGGCAATCGAAATAAATTTTAGGTTAGTAGTATTAGTACGGCGGGCTGTTTTCCGAAAGTAGAACTATAAAAACGAGATAGTAGCATACTAGGATTGTTGAAAAAACTGATCAAATACTAGTCAGACTTGGTAAGGAAGGATTCAGTTTTATAGTTCTGCGGAATATTTAAAACTAGATTGAGCAATCTAAGTCGAAAATATCAGAGGCCCAAGCACGAATTTTGTCAGCTCCGTAATCGTATCGCATCGTTAAAGTATCTATGAAAACTAAGCAGAGCGGGATATTTTGCGGGATGACTGTTTATTTTGCAGATACATAATGAAACAAGCTGCCTGATTTTGCTTTACTAACCATTACCATGATGGTATCACAGAACAAGAATTACTGCTAACAAAATCTTTGTATGCTGGGTAAATAATTTTTAGGCTACTTTTTAGGGTAACCAAAAATCTTAAATGGCATACTAAATAATTACTTCTCTATTTTTATGTCATTTACGTAAACAGAGGCGCTCTCCCTGAACTGTCACTCAAATTCAAAAAGATCTCTGTAGCACTGTTTGTAAAATAAACTCACTGGAAGTTAACTTTGTCCAATAAGAACTGCGTATTGAATATGCCGGATATGAGCACTGTAGTCCGGCTATTTGATTAAAAGAACCTGGTCCAGGGAACTGTGTTTATTATCTATGTGCATTGGTAACTATAGGTGTACAGCGCCCTTTCTTCCTTCAAATGTTAAATACTTGTTAAGGTATTCATTTGACACCGTGGGTTCTTCATCATCATCATCAGCCTATTAATGTCCCCACTGCTGGGGCACAGGCTTTCACTATGGAATATTAAGTTAGAGACCACGCGGGCCCATTGCGGATTGGTGTGTGATAACGACTGCAGATGCAGGCGGGACCAACAGCTTAACGTGCCTTCCGAAGCACGGAGGAGCCCGAGATAGTAAATTTTTGGTCATCCATGCAATGACCGACTACTGCGAAAGTTGCTTAACTTCAACGATCGCAGCCGAACGCGCTAACCACTTGCGCCATCGAGCTTTTTACACTGTGGGTTACCTACTGGTATTTGCATTTGTGGGTATTTGCACATTGACATTCAACAAAATATCATCATCATTATTATATTATTACTAGCGGCCCGCCCTCGCTTCGCTTCGGTGTAGAGCTGAAGTGTAGACTACAGATTTTGTTCTCAGGCTTGTATTATACACAATGACATTCATCTATGGTTCTTCTTATACCTGCATGCAAAGTCTCAGCCCGATCGGTTTAAAATTGACAAAGTTTCATACAAAATTTCATTCCCTATTTTATCCCCTTGGGGGTAGAATTGATCAAAATTCTTTCTTAGCGGATGCCTACGTCATAACATCTACCTGCATGCCAAATTTCAGTCCGATCCGTCCAGTGGTTTGGGCTGTGTGTTGATAGATCACTATGTCAGTCAGTCAAATTTGAGTTATATATATGTATATAGATAGATACTCACTGGAAGTTAACTTTGTCGACGACAAACTGCGTCTCAAATATGCCGGACGTGAGCACTCGGCAGCGCAGGATATCCTGCTCCGTGGGCGTGTAGTCCGGCTGCTTGATTATGTGAACCTGGTCCAGGAAACTGGGTACAAACAAGAAAATGTTATATTTAAAAAGACTCGACTTATTACTGAATGAATGAAATTATGTAGAAAAAAAGAAAATACATAAATGCATGGCAGAAAACAGTGGCACTTGGGCCGTTTGGCTAAAACAGGCAACCTGTCACTCCAAGGCTGCGCTCTAAACCTACGCTCGGAGTGCAGTTTTTTACCATAACGTTTAAATTTTGATATAAAATGTATGAAACTTGTGTCAAATATTGCATTTGTTGCACTTGCGAGCGTAGTTTTGGAACGCAGTCCAAATCTAACGGATTTTGTCGGGTTTCCTTGTAATTTTGACAGCTGTGTCGAAATGTTGTTAAGGGCCATATTGAATTGTGAAGGCACAACCAGAAGCCATAAAATAGAAGAAGAAGAAGACACCTGCGCCTCTGGCGGGATAAATTGGCAGTTTTCTTCCCCATTGCCGCTTTGAGCTAATCTTTAGCTTTGTGATTGTATTCCTTTGGTTCATTATTTTTTTTTTTGAAGACTATTAAAACTTCTGTAAACCAGTGTGCGGTTCGCA